TAGTATCCCATCCAGGGGGGAGTAGAAATGCTCCTAGTCGCTTCATGCTACAGAAACCGGGATAAGCTCCGGCCTGATGGGCTACTTGGCTCGCATGCAAACTTTACCTTTTTACCTCTTCTTCCTGTAGCAGTATACTTAATATCGTCATCTTGGTGTTACATTTACATTTCGCGTATTAGAGATAATTTTTACACCTGTTTCCTTAAAAGGCAGCAATATCACCGAGAAAGTGTCCCTCTAAGTGCCAAAACTGTTATCACGTTTTGAGTAGCCATGCCCCTGGCCATGCCCTATACCCTGGCGTGAGAAAAACGTTTGTGACATTTTTTTGTTGTTGTTTTACAACCTCATGAGTTTTATTGGTTTTGATTTTCTTGAGTGTGGATTCATGTCGCTGCGAAACTGATCAAATTTTCAGATGCTGTAAAGTTCACGATGAATGTTACAAGCGCATCATGAACGATCCATTTCCTTGTAGCTTTTCATCTGCTGTTTACTGGCAAATATACACCAGAGACGACACTTCCACTGGTTGTGGTAAGTTCGAATGCTTTCCACTGTGTTTATCAGTCCACTTTCATTTATCAAGTTTAACTTGGCACATCCAGTACCTCACGTTACCTGATAACCTCTCTTGAGACTAACACCCAGGAGTCAGACAAAACTGTTGAAGTGTATTGCGTCAGCCATCAAGAAAACGAACTGTAGCCATTAGGGACGGACCATTATTTTTTTGAGGGAAGGAGGGTGGGCAATTTTGTTAGGCAATAGCCTGTGCAAGAATTTATTTAAATGTCAAACACAGGGCCTGGATAGCGCTTGCTCGGTTTTTTCCTCATGGCTCCCCTTGCACGACTTTTAGAACTTTTAGCAGTTTTTCCTGTGCAGGAATTTTTTTTCGCCAATTGCATAACCGTTCCCCCCATCCCTCTTTCCCTACCCCCCTCAAAAAATTTAATGGCCCGTCCCGTATAATGTGGATAGACTAACTACTTCTTGTTTCTATTTGACAAACACTCAGTCGACCAAGCCGGCACGTGTGAACGGGCCATTTGTGATTGTGATGGAGCGGCGGCCAGCTGCTTTCCCCAACATGAGTGGAACGAAGAGCATTGTGACTACCCACCATCTCAATGCTAGCAGAGAAGCAGCGGCCAATTGGAAACGAAACGAAAAACACATGGATGATTATGTTAGATTTAGTCCTAAGTCACAAAGTGTATCAAAAGTCGTGATCATAATAAAGAGCGGTTTAAGATCGTAAAAGCCTCTGTTTGAGCTCAACTCTCACAAGCTCCTCACCCTTCAAGGATGCCGGCTAGAATTTCCCTGGGTTAAATAATTTGAAAAGGTGGTCAGTCAAGAAGCTAACAGAAAGCGTCTTTCACAAGATGAAATATTATTTTGGATATTGTCCAGGAAGGTCACTCCTCTTTTATCATTCTTTGCACAATTTAAATATAAACATACATCCCGTTGTATATAAATCCCGCTTGCAAGAGGGACGAAAGCTTGCCAATCAGTATTATCATGTATGGGTTTTGGCTCCAATCGTAAACAGTGTAGTTTTTGTCTTTTTTTTTTTTTTTTTTTTTTTNCGGGTTCGGAGAAGGCGAGATGGTTCGTTAACCACGGACGTCGAGGAAATTATATTGTGGCTGACAAACGTGTTTGAATAACTCAAGGTGGTTGCCAATTTCACGAGGAGATGAAGGGTGTGTGTGTTGTGCGGCGCCGCAATCTAGAAGGTCTTGGGGGTCCAAAATATACGAAGAGAAACTCTAGGAAAACACAAATAAGATTTCATGAAGAGGGAAGCAACAACAGCAGCAATGTTACAGCAGCCAAAGAAATTTTTCAGAAGAACCAAATTCCAGATAAGAAAACATAAAACGGGTGAACATATAGGAATGAATACAAAGCGCAGCTCCGATTCGAAAAAGTGCAAACAGCTAGATAGAAAGATTCGAGATTAGACGAGGAAAAGCTTTAGAACAAACGTAAAATGTTTATGAGATATTTATACAGATAGTTCCCTTGTTTCAGATATTTAACTGTTTAACGTTTGGGAGTATGGGGTTTCATATGTACGAGTCGTAAATTCAATTCATGAGCTCCCCTCTTCCGGTCCCTGCTACTTATCCTACCGGACTTCAGTTGACTATTCAACCAGGTTCTTTAAATAAAGGCTGACGAATGACAAGAAAATCTGCGTCGCTACTGAAGCTGTCACCACTTTTCATTGCACAATAATGATGTGAGATATTACCTAATCATCGCATCAAAACAGGCTGTTAGATCGTTCTGTAGAAAGTAAATATGGGAATGCTTTTTGAGTGACACGAATTCCTACTGAACAAATGATGCCGCTAACCAGGGATGATAGCGATCGAAGTGTCAATAATCCTTGCCTCCTGTGCTTCTTTTGCACTCCACATGTGGTTCATATATGTATTTTGTATCATTTTTCAGTCGAATTTGCTTTTAGAATAAATTTTCCAATGTGGTATTGTATTTTATATTTTTGATACTGATATGATTATTGTGGCAACGCAGTCTACGGTAAAATGTAGATAACAGAATTTCAGTATGATAAACCCAGAACAAAAAACGAACACTAGTCCTTAAGCACTTCTTTATATCGGATTCTTACTGTATCTCTTTTAACTTATGTCAAGTAAAGGGATCTCAATATAACCTAACTTCAATTTAGGTTCCAACTTATAGACTGGCACTATTACCAGGTCTTTTTAACGTTTTCTTTTTCAAATCAGATTGTATTTCTTTTCATGACCAAATCTCATTGTTTCGCAACCCTCCTATTTTTACAAGAGAGCTAGAGAGGGGTTCAGCTGTCTAATCTCAGCTGTCCGATTGCCAGTGCTTGTCATTGTGCCTTGCAATCCAAAAATCATGTTTTTCGCAGAGTTCCAATCTGATTTATGCTATAATGATGGTTACCGTGTTTATAGTATTGTGGCGTCTAAGACGCTACATGTGGGAGTTACAAGCACGATTATTACTGAAAAGTATGACGTTTGAACTGTTATTAGTATTGTATATGGACTGTTATTAGTATTGTATATGGACTGTTATTAGTATTGTATATGGACTGTTATTAGTATTGTATATGGGCACTCAAGGAAAGCCATCCATCCATCCATTTCTTTCTTCAACTGTTTGCCTTTTACGAAATCAATCTGTCTCCTGTTTAACCTGTTCACATAAAAGTTTATTTGATATTACTAAAATCATGTTTCCTCGAAAAGACATCAAATAATTCTGGGAACGGAACAGCAAAGCAAAGTCATGCAATTAAATATTTTTTTTTTCCAAAGTCTTCCTTTATATTCTTTGTAAACTTATAAGCCTCACACAAACAAAAACATGTGTGGTTTGATTTGTGCATGTCCCATGATCTTGAAGAATTGAAAATGAGAAGCTTTTTTTATTTTTTAAACCAATTTTATGCGCAATAAATCATATAAGTAGCCCTCTACGTTCCAAGCGTCTTATTTCATTTCAGTTTCACGATAGGCTTTTTTTTGAGCTAGGACTTCGCTTAAACCTGACTTCTAATGTTGAGATTTCTTGAGCCATCAAGACACTCCGTGAGAACAACAAGACAACCCTGTGATGAAATGTCACAGTCACGACCAGGAAGATCACCGATATTGAAAAATAAAATAAATAAAAAAGAGTTTAACGCCGGCTACAAGGGTCTGGTTTGCTCGCTGTTTTTGAACACACGCTAACTTTTCTTCTTGATAATACAGCTGTGAAAAACGTGAGATTTCCCTCATTCAAGTGGATCAAAGTTAACAGCCATTTAATACTTAAAAAGAAGAAATGGCTCTTAAGAAACGACTCTAGATGGTAAACGATAAAACATTTTGTTTAGCTGCTAAGTAAAATATTATTATATATTCAAATACTTTTCTTTGATTCACTTCAGACTAGCTGTTGCCTTCCACACGCCCTGATCTGTTTATGCAGAACGTAGTATCATTTTACCTGTATTTTGTTTAACGTGTAACGTGAGATGACAAAAATGAAGTCATTAATGCTCTTCATTGTTTTGCTCCCTTACACTTTTGTATGTGTTGTGTCACTTCCATCTTCCTTGAAGGTAGGTTTGATTTATTAAGGTACTAATCAATATTACACCTTAGAGAAGAGACCTTATTTGTTTACGCCTAAACAAGAGAAAATGTAGCACTTTGTAGTCATGTATCATATGCTAGCATGAAAATCCTTGCTAGCTCATTTATAAATTTCTGCTTTGCCCCCCTCTCCCTCTCCCCCTAAATAATCAGACAGGCATTATTTGTCAACATTTTTTAGGGATTTTTACAGCAATTCATTTTTTATTAACAATAGCAAAATATAACTTCAAACTGTAAACTATAGATTTCGAATATTATGGAACTTCCCATCAATGATGTTTTTAAAAAACGAATCGCTCTGAGTAAATGCTTCTACTTATTTGATGCTAAATCCATGTGGATTTATTAACAAAATTTGCCTTAAAATTTGTTTAACATGTTTAATCTACGTTTTAAACTATGATGGATGTTTTCATCTGAGAGAACATATATTGCGTATTACCCGCTAGCAATCCTTCTTGTTTCTTTAATTTCATTTTGTTGCTCCCAGAATAAAGAAGGAACGGTGTCCTTGAACAGGGAACAAGGTGAGCTTATAATGAACATAATGTTTGTAAACTTACGTGGGAGATGCACTGATACGGCTGAGTAAATTTTTAAATTAAAGCAGTGACACTGACCTTAGCATAGTTTAAAATTCGTCCTGCTGATAAAAATGAGAGCGAAAACGCTTCGCTCAAAATGTAATCAGAATATATAACGTTGGTCGTGAATGTCCTTTAACATTATAAGTAAGATCTAAGATTTCTTCTGACGCCGAAGAGAACAATCTTTTTATCATTAATATTACAGAACTACAATATAGAGTTTTCAGATAAAAATCGAAGTTTCTCCCGAAACCGTCTCTGTTCCAGATGATCACGAGCACACCGTGGCCAGATTTCGGCGAAGTCTGCTGCAGTTTTACCAAATGATTTCATGCGCGACGAACAACGACCCGCTGAAATACAACTTTTATGGGTGTTACTGTGGGCTGGGAGGCAAAGGAACACCAGTGGATGCCCTCGACAGGTTACCACTCTCAGTTTTTACATTTAATAAAAGAAGCGTTTTTTGCTCTTCTTGTAGTCATAAAATCGTATGTCCTCGCGACGACAAGATTTTCGTAATAGGCGGTCTCACTATCACATAAGATGATGACAAATGGCATAGTGAACACGCATATATTTGTAAAACAGATTATCTTAACTGTTGTAGCATTGCAGAAGCAGATATGAACTTGGAACAAAGTGTTCAGTCAAGATTGATCATTAGCCAAAGGGACATTCTCTAGATGCCTTTATAGAGTTACACGCATTTAAAACCAAAGTAACTCAGTAAAGTAACTCGTTAAAATTAAAAATTAATTCCACATTCATTATAACTAGTTTTCATGGTAAAGGAAGATTCACATCATATTGCAGATGTTGCGAGAAGCATGATGCATGTTACAACCAAATCAATCAGAACAAGCTGTGTAGATTTCCATGGCATATCTACACCAAATCGTACGATATGGAAGGATGCACTGGATGTGGTATGGAATACCTCTCAAGATTTATCTTAGTTTGCTTGCACTTATTAGGAACATTTGCACTCTGGAAATTAAACATAAAAATGATTTCATTCCCATTAAATTGATGAGCATCGCAGAACTGACATTCTACGAATACCTATTATTTTTCGTCATTTTTTCTTAACAATTTCAGTTAATTCCAGTCACAATCTAAGAAACACAGTGGCATGGTTGGCATACAAACGTGCCGCTTGCGCGGGAATTCTGTCACGTGGCAGGTCGGTTTTTGATTGGTCGAATCAGACAAAGCCAATGAGAAAGTTGTAACGATTCTTTAACAACTTTCTGGTTGGCAAGGATACTATAAAATGAAATAAACCATTTCTGCGACAATTAGTTCCTTTCTTGCCAAAGCAGTAACTAAACCGTATGATCAGACATAATTGCCACTCAGGGCTACCACGAAGTGACAACTGTGGCTGATCCAGGTCTTTTGCATGCGTAGACATACCATGTATGGAAATCTGTTTACAGTGAAGATAGCCATGTAACATGCAGCGTGACATTAAGGAGTGCTACCCCTTAATTGTAACTGGTCACCATTTTAAGACTGCTAGTAAGACGATACTTTGGAATTGAAAACGAATCTTCCAGGCTAAATGAGATAGGGCCTTCCTGCTCCTTGTGAAAACAGGAGATTCTGATGAAAACAGAGAAAAATCTTAGAGTAAACATACGACATTACTAGGAAGAGGTAAATGTAAAACTTTGTAGTTTTATTTTCTTTTTGTTTGTTTGTTTGTTTTTTCGTTCGTTTGTTTGTTTGTTTGTTTGTTTGCTTGTTTAAAAAAAATGTTTCCCATCTTAGCTTCCCACGTCGACAACTTTCCGACTTAATGCAAATAGTCAAGACCATCACTGTTGAATCTCTGAAGCTTGAATTTAATAGTTGTCTTCTCTCTTGCAGCCTCCTCTAATGACAAATGCCAGCTGGCCATCTGTAACTGTGACAGTGTTGCAGCTCAATGCTTTGCAAGAAACAAGTTGAATCCTGCATATGAAGACTATCCACAGAGCAAATGCAAATGAGCATGCCACAACTGAGATACATCTCGCAGTTTACAACTACTTTCATCACACATTACTAAATAAAGTTGCACCAAATTAAACTGATTCTAAACTGTTTACACTTGTCTCCTTCTTGCCTTGATGTACGTTATACTGTCAAAATCTCAACACCAGCATTAAAAGAAAAGTAAAACCTAGGGTAACCATGCACTAAAGAGAAGTTTTAGCGCGAGCTTCAAAATGAAAGGTTTTCCTAATATCGTGTTCGAATTATATGTAATGCGATCATCACAGACTTGAATGAAAACGCGAAGAAAGCCAGGCTTCACTGGCAAAATCCGCTCGACATCAAGAGGAGATAGGCATACCCCAGAGGACATAAGCAGTCCGACAGGAGCAATGTTGAGAAAGAACGAATACATGTCATTCTCGACACCAGACCTTCGCTCTCTGGGCTCCGCCAGACAGGAAGCTCTGGGGAATTCTGAGCGAACGAAGCCAAACTCTGCCTATGTTGATCACACAGCGCATGCTTTGCCCAAAACAAAATTAGTGGTGCTGTAGTTACACCATATAGGATACATCTTTTTATTTCATCAAAAGCCTGTAAAGACCTAAATTGTAGCTCAAAATGTTGTTAGCAATTAAAATTTCCCTTCAACCCGTAGTTTTTTATCCATGTATTTCTTTCCTTGTTCAAAGAGGACAATGGTTCAGACAATGGACTCCTTTTGGGACTAACATATAAAGTTCAACTTTTTTCTACACTATGAATTGATGTTTACAAATTTAATTAATTCTAAAAACCGTTTGAAAATTCGTCGACATTTTCTCGAGCCTCCGTATGTTGACGCGAAATTCTAAACTTTGGCATTGCCATGATCATCTTGGTGGGAGGCGCGGTGGTGTCATGGTTAGTGCGCTCGTCTCCTGATCGAGTGGTCCAGTTTGAGCCCTGGCCAGGGACATTGTGTTGTGTTCTTGGGCAAGAGACTTAACTCTCATAGTGCCTCTCTCCGCCCAGGTGTATAAATTGGTACCGGCGAATTTAATGACCGGGGTAACCCTGCGATGGACTAGTATCCCATCCAGGAGGGAGTAGAAATACTTCTGGTCGCTTCATGGTACTGACACCGGAGATAAGCACCGGTCTGATGGGCCACTTGGCTCGTATACAGACGTTTATACCTATGATCATCATGCATGTGGAATAAAAAAGCTGAGTTCGTCCTAAATGCAGTCCGTTGTTTGAGCGATTTTTTTCTTTTTTCTTTTTTTTCAAAAAGGAACTGCATGGATAATGAAGAGCTTTCATTTTTTCAAAGGAAACTAATCAAAACAGACTATTTTGCCGGGTTCTCCAGAGCTAGCCGCGCCATCAGACACGCTCAAAAGAGAATCACTTTAGGGTCGAGGAATAAGTCACTTTAATCTCACGCGAAAGTTTGAGCATGCGCCTAGTCTTGGCATTCGCCCTTAATGCCTCATTACATGGCAGATTTCAACCTGGCTTCTGAAACAAATCCGCTTAAAATCAAATTGGCGATTAGGTGGAGAGGATTCAGCCCGGGCTGAATATTTTTTTTTTTTTTTTTTTTT